CATGAAATAAAATGTTGCAGTAAAATACTGTCGATAACAGTGAAAACCCCAATTATCATACATAAGAGTACACCCTGGGTGCATTAGGACCTCCCATCCGAGCTCCTGGCGTTGTCCTGATGGAACATAATTAGGCCTCTGTATGGATGAGTGCTGCCTTCAAGCGGTCCAGAACCAACAGCCTTCCTGGCCGTCAATCAGGTCTTGGCCACCATCTGGGCCGCTTCCCCGAGCTTTGACCACGACCGTTTGAGCTCGATGTTGTCATAAGTGACCCATTTTTCATCGCCAGTCACAATCCGCTTCAGTAAAGTGTCGATTTTGTTGCGATTCTGCAGCGATTTGCAGATGGAAATTCGGTCCATCATGTTTTTGCGTTAGTTCGTGTGACACCCAAAAATCGAGCTCCTTTTTGAATCCAAGGTTATGCAAATGGTTCCAAACGGTTTTCTGGCTTATCTTTAGTTCCTCAGCAACTAAATAAGTGCTCATGTGACGGTCTGTTTCCACTATTTCCATGATTTTATCGCAGTTTTCGCCGACAGGCCTCCCGACGCGTGGTGCATCTTTGACATCGAAATTACCGGAACAGAACCTAGCAAACCACCTTTGTGCTACACGTTCGTTTACAGTATCGGGCCCATAAACTAAATTAATTTTTTCAGCCGCCTTGGCTTCTTTTTCGCCTTGATTGAAGAAAACTTGTAAAATATAGAGAACTTTCTCTTTGCTGGTGTCCATCTTTGACGAGCGCTCACAACGTACTGAGTCAATCAATCGAAAAACTGTCAAAGATAAACTTTTAGCGCGAATAAACAGAGTATACAAGTATTAAGTTTACCATGATGTTTGTAACACCCAAAAAGAAACGTCAAAGACCCTATAAAGTGTATATATAAATGCTAAGTCGAAAAAGCCATGTCCGTCCGTCTGTATACAAACTAGTTTTTCAGTTTTTGAGGTATCGATTTGAAATTCTTCACCCGTCCTTTTCTCACTAAGAAGCTCATTTGTCGTAACGGGCGACATCGGACCACTATAGCATATAGCTAACATACAAATTGACCGATCAAAGTTCTTGTAAGGAATTTTTTTCTATTTGTGAAGGGTGTTATAGCTTCAATTCCGAAGTTAATGTTTCTTCTTCTTACTTAGTCATATACGGTAGAGGTTTACGTAGAACGAATGCCTAGATGGTCGATATTGTTTGTGGTATGTTCTAGCTACTTTTATCTTTCACCTAATTCAACACCCCTTCAATGCCTAACCCAGATCTTTCATACAATGCGCGTTCACATCGGTTTTTACTGAGGGGTGGGTACGGGAGAGCAGCTTGTTATTGCTTATTGAACATTGCCAGGGATACGCAACTGGATTATGTCGAGGCTTATGTCATTTGTTGTTGTATTTTGCACATCTTCGCTGCAGATTAGCAGCTGCATTCCTAATCCATCCGCTGCTGCAAATTCGCTTTTTACTGCCCGCAATTTGTAGGTGTGGTAGGGCGGTCCCGGACTTACGGCAGTCATGTCCTGGGTTCTATATTTAGTCGCTTTAGCTGGAAACTTTGCACTGAACTTATTTTATATGTCGCACTTCTCTGTTGCTTGTAGTTGTAATGTTTACATATACATGTATACATATATATGTATGTGTGTGCGATTGCCAGTGTGGGAGCGCGCGTGCGTTAATAATGCCAATAACAACAAGATTTTTTAAAGGTAATATATGCAGCAACTGGCAGCATGATTTACTCTATATACCGACTCATGCGTGTGTGTATATGTGCTTCCGTGCAACACTAACAGCAACATTAAGCAGTGCAAGTTCACAAATAGCTCCAATTAAAAACAAAAAGAAAAGTACAAACTAACAACAACTAATACAATCAAGTGCGGAATAACTACTTAAGCAAAAATAAACTGCGCCAAGCAGCAACAGCATCAACAACCAGGCATCCGTATGCCCGCCCTCGCCCACATACCGCCACCTTCGAAGCAGTGAAGCATTCGCACATTCGCACAAAATTTAATTAAACCACTCAAGTGTGCGCGTACTGGCAAAGCACAAACTCACCAACGCCAGCACGCCGTAGCTTGCGCGCGCGTCCGTGGGCGTTACTGCATATCTTCGCATTCCGTGCGCATCAGCTGAATACCCACGCGCTCGTGCAGGCGCCCGAGTCGTTACTATAGCCACGCACAGCACGGGCGCGAAAACGCTTTTGACAGCGTGGCGCATTGCTTATAGCTGCGTGCAGTTTACTGGGAACGCGTAATTGCTTGTGGCACGCCAGCTGCTGCCCCTGTACCTCTTCCACAGTCGGTTGTGTTCGTCACTGTTCGTTGTCATCGCCAGCGTTTCGCCCGGAAATGGCATCTCAAGTTTCCACTGCCAGTATGCTTCTCGGTAAGCTAAAAATACCCAACACCCACTTATTAAGTACAATTATTAAGCTTATTATTATGACGCCGCTGTCATTAAGCACTCACGTGAACACAAAACCGAACTCCCGGCTATACAAGTGCCAATCATAGCTTGCAGTTGAAATCAGAGCTAATTGTTGAAAGAGAAACAACAAAACCATTTACTAAAGATATGTTGCTCACAACCGTCGAAGGTCTTCAATATAATTATTAGGCTAAATTTCCAAGAGTTTGAATACACTCCTAACTTAACTAACTGCAAGCATCGGGTTATCGAACCACGTCTATAATAAATTAACTCTCTGAGAGCGCTGACTTCTATATACTGCAGTATTTCGTTAATCAATAGTTGCTAAAGACTTTAAACCATAAGAGATCATATCGATTTGAAGTATTTTTCCGACTGCAGCTTAAACTATGACAGATTCGTGTTTTCATTTTAGATACAGCGTCGAGTATCGAGTATAAAGCGCGGAGGTTAATCAGGGAAATTTACTTTAAAAATATTTTAAACTTTCTTTCACGAAATTTTGTGGATACAATTACAAGTAAAAATATCAAATTTTTAAAGATCTTTTCATTAGGCTTCTGCAATGTTCTACAGTATGCTTATCGATAATGAAATTCGCTTTCCAAAGTTTCTTCGTTGAGAAATCATGCTGCTCACAATAAGTGCTGCCCCATCTAGCTGAATGCAGAAAATGCCACGAGTGCTTCGGAGCGTTCCCAATTCATACGCTTCCACATCTTCAAATTGGAATTGCAACATGATTGCAGGAATTAAACGCCAAAGTGCATTCTTAATTGAGATGCGTAAATTAATTGCGCTTTAATACACCCATGAATTGGGGGACGCACGGTCCGGCAATTAGAAGGCAAACGCAAAGAAAATTATGAATGCCACATGGGAATATCAAGCTTGTAGCGTCATTATTGTTGTTTTGCTGTAGTTGCTTGCCTTTGCTTTTGTGGCAAACGCATTGTTGTTGTTGTTGTTGTTTATAGTTGCTGTTATTGTTGCACTTAAAGGAAAATGAATTCCGATTCGGTGAGTCCTTTTGCCGCGGACAATGCTTGAAAGGGCGAGTGAGTGAAGAAGCGGAAGAGTGGCAGTAAATGAAAGAAAAGGAATCCGTAGTACAGAGCTTTAACATATTTTATTAATATGAGTTTGCCTGGGGGATATTATGTCCCCAGGGATGCTCTTCTCTGATTTTGATTTTATTTCTGCTTTACTTACATACAAACAAGTTCACATCTCAGTGTCGGCAGAAGATAGTCTTATAGAATCTAGTTAATGAAGAGTTTGGAAAAAGAAAATGTTTTATGCTCAGATAGTGCTTTCAAGAACAATGTCTTTATAACTGCAAATATAATAATATCTCGGTTGATATCGAAAGTTCTACAATACCCCAAGGGATATTGAAAACCCGAAACATTTTCTGTGAAAGCCATTTAGAAGGACTACATTGACGATCGAAGAAAAGAAAAGCTTGATATACATACTTACATACATATCCACATATCTATAGTATATTTTGCGGTTAACTCTAACTCTATATATAATACACACACATGCATACTTTTATTTGCGTAAGTGTGCATGCAACACATTGAACAAGTGAACATTCTGCACGCGTTTGCAAGCGTTTTAATTAAATTTGATGAAATTTCCACTTGTTAGCTGTAAATATTTGCAGTGGGCCAAACTGGGGTCGTGAACTTTTCTATCACCAAATTGCAATATTTACTTGATGTGGCTTTGTGAGTATATAGGTCCATAAGACGTCTTTAGACGGGAGAATAATACAATAACACTGAACATTTTAAAATCAATTAATTTTTTGTTATTTCGAGATGCATATTCGATGTAGATAGTAAAATTTGGTAATGTTTGTATGTAATGAATTTATTTGAAAATTAATTGAAGACTTTATTGCAAACAACATCACGTCCAACCAAACTTTGTCCCTTTTATAGCATTTGAGTCATTTAACTTAACTTTCGTTAGCTCTTAACTTGTCATCTGCAAAAAGGGGGTTTCCCTCTCCATCGAAAGGAAATGTTCACATTTGCCTTTATATGTGATTTTTAAGTGTGAAACATCGCACTTTGTTGCGCCGACCGTTGCTCTTCTAACGCAACCAACAACGCCGGCTGTCCGAGTCTGCATTTCGAAAAAAGTCCGTTCAAAATGATTTATGCTAGCGCAAATTGCCCGTGAAGTCTCGCACATTTATTCATTTAAAGTGCAAATCATTTAATTTAATTAAGTTTTTGACGGAGAACCGCTTATTTTGCATATTAAGTGCGACATCGTAGCGTCCAGCATGGCGTATGAGTAATGCATGCACTCACGCACACACACAAACACCCACACATACTCACATAGCGTACAAATTTATTACGCGACTTAGTTAGAGGGATTTGGATGCTGGAAGCGGTGCCATTCGAATTCCCGACAAAACATTTATACACACACAAAAGTTCTTTACATCCTGAATTTAAGAATAAGAATTTGGTCATTTTGGGGTTGAAAGCGCTAATTTTCCTTGTTAAATTGTTTATCTTCAGAGCCTGTTCGCCGTTTTACCACACGCCGCAAATCCGTATTTGCCGAAGCCTATGATCCGGAAAACGACGCCGACGATGACGAGGCCGAACGTAAGATCTATCCCAAATCAGATGAGCAACGCGCACGTCTAACCGATTCGGTGAAGAATGTACTGTTATTCCGTTCCTTGGACGATGAACAGGTGAGTGTGAGCCATCAGCGACTCAAACACACACACACATCCATATGCATATCGTCTAATTACATTTCATATGCGGTTTTCTGTTGCGTTTGAACTGAACACATTCGGTAGAACATCGCAAATAAGGTGCTTTTCTTCACTCACGCCAATTGACTTTTAATGAGGTAGTTTTCGCGAAATACAGCTGGAATGTTTAAGACCATTTAGTTAGCTCAACGTGTGCATGCACTACCTTTGATGCAACCTACGCATACACTTGTAACACCTGTTTAAAATTTGCTCAAATCGCTAAACAAACTTGTATTGTTAAACAAACAGCAACACAAATAAAAACTAAAGTAGAACGACGCATTCCGCGCTGCGTATGGAGCATGAATTGCTGCTGCCAGTTAGTAGAAGCCTAATGGTTTCATGAGAATTTTTAAGGCTAGTCTCCACAGTTTTCCTCCCGTAGAGAGACTAAAAATAGATTCGAACAATATATCACTTTAAATACACACACACATAAATTTCAATATATGTTCCTTATTGTTCTCAAATATGAAATAAGTTCCACAGAGACAGACATGCAAATTCTTGAACACATACATATCTACATTAAAATGTTTGTTTTTTCTTAGATGAATCAAGTATTGGACGCCATGTTTGAGAAGCGAGTGCAGCCGGAGGAGTTCATCATTCGCCAGGGTGATGACGGCGATAATTTCTATGTTATTGAGTCGTGAGTATCGCATTTCAATTATGGTATCGTCAGGCGGAGTGGTGAGTGAGTGAAATTCTGTGGCTAAACGAGGATTGCTGAGCGCTCATTCTCCGTCTTTATGCAGAATTAATTATTTCCTGCATTCCTATAAATGAAATTGAAATGGAATAGATTTTATGTATGTTGCATTTACATAAGCGACAATGGATTGAGTTGGTAAAAGGAATTAAATAATGAAGTATCCCATTCAAGTTGACGTTGTTCGTCTAAAAGTAACGTTGAGTAGAGGTCACCACTCTCGAAGTTAGGCCCTTTAGTACGGACGTTTCGGCAACTACCTCATATTGAAATCGCCAGGCAAAGTATGTCGCTCCGTTCCATAGACCGCAACTCGGCCGTGGTAAAATCTTATGAGAAGTTTTTGGGTACATTAATAAAGAGTTGGCACAGCGCAAAGTAATTGTCATATATCGTTCAAACGTTGTGTCAAAGAACGTGATATTTAAACATGAAGAAAAGTAATTCGAATTAAATTTGTTTAGATATATTAATGAATGTATTAATTTAAGACGGAAAATTAGACGATTCTCGTTTGTCTTCGAAAAGTCATCTCACCAGCTGCGATGTTATAAATCATTTAATCACAATAGAATTTATTTTTTATTTTACCTGAGCTTGAGCACTTTCTTCATTTTAATCAAAGTTGCCAAATTATAAGGTGTTTAAAACAGTTACTATTTAAGACTTACTGTCTCATAAAGCCCCTCAGTCGTTCGAATTGTGCTTTAAGCTTGCAAAAACCTACATTTTGTTGTTAAATTACTTCAAGATGTAGGCCACCATAGGGGAAAAGCTAAGCAAACAACGAGACGAATATTAATATATAGTAAGAATACTCAATCATACTCATCATTTAACAAATTTTTACCTCTTTTCTCTTTTAACCTGCCTTTGATGCTCGAACAAACTGATCAGTGGAGTTTACAAAGTAATTTGCAATGGTGATCATATTTTCACTTACGACAATACTGGAATATTCGGTGAACTGGCATTGCTCTATAACGTACCAAGGTGAGTGAAAATTTCATTAATATAAGTAGTTCATAAATTATTTTTTTTGTACAGACACAGCACAATTATAAATAAATATGTATATGTACAAAAATGCGTAAAATTTGGTGAAAAAATATATGGATTTCAAAATTATATGCGCATGACTACCAATTAGTATTAAAATAATGTAAAAAAGTTGCTGTTCATAAAAGCATCAGCATCACTTTTTCCAACTTAAAAAAAATTCGTGTTTTTTATAGAAAATAGATATAAATGTTTCCCATTTAATTAATGAATTCATATTTTTCGCCTTTTTGGAGCACAAAAGCTTATTGAAGAGAAAAAATGCTGGAGTTTATTTTATTGCCTTAATTATCTTTATTACAACCTCGCCGGGAGAAGTTTGTATTTGTGTTTTGTGTCCGATAGCTGACAAGGGCATGCTGGTGTGCAGTTGTGTCAGTGAATTCATCGTTTTTATGGGAGGAGGCGTTAAAGTTGAAAATAGATGTTCACTCAAATGGAAATAAAGCTTAAAGTATATTAAAAAGTTATTTTATTGATTTATCGTTGCTCTAGACATACATTATTACAAGCATATGCGATGCAACTTAATTAAAACGGGAGATCAAATTGGGAACTAATTCGGGTTATAGTCTAACAATAAAATACAGCCGTTTATGTAACGATTTTCGATTACTTTCAGAGCCGCCTCCATACAGGCTGTCACAGAGGGTCTACTCTGGGCTATGGACCGTCAAACGTTCCGCCGCATTCTATTGAAGTCTGCTTTCAAAAAGCGAAAAATGTACGAAACGCTTTTGGATAGTGTACCAATGTTGAAAGCGTTGAAGGTAAGTATCCATATGCATATTACTTAGACGGAGGTGCTCTGTAATCCCGTTTCGAAACCGGGTTCTGGAGTCATCTTTCTTATGGGGAAGTATATAATGATTTATTTCGTTTCGTTTTCAATATTTTCATTTAGTCCTATGAGCGCATGAATTTGGCTGATGCTTTGGTTTCCAAGCATTTCTCTAATAATGAGAGAATCATCAAACAAGGTCGGGAAAACGAACTTACTCACCAGAAAGCGCCTAAATCTTTACACAATTATATTATTTACTATTTTAGGTGATGTCGCTGATGGTATGTACTTCATAGAGGATGGAAATGTTGTGGTGAAAATGGATCAAGATGGCAAGGAGATCGAGATTTCGCGGTTAGGTAAAGGGCAATATTTCGGGGAGTTGGCTTTGGTTACACACCGACCACGCGCTGCTTCCGTCTATGCCGATGGAGATGTCAAAGTTGCATGTAAGTGAAAAGACCATAAAATATACTCATATAAGGTTATTTTTTGAAAGTTAGCTTTTATATACCATTATCCTACCACATCCATTAAAATGAAATTTTTCAAAATATAAATATTCCAATACTGTTGCATTAGATTTGCATTTTAGTAATGCAATATGTAGATTATTTTCATTTACTTATAAAATAAATTATGCATTATATTTAATACATTTACTGAATCCTTTTTCTAGTGGATGTGGTATTATTTTTTTTTTTTTTTGCAAATTTTATTATTTTTAGTTCTCCTTTGCATTAGATTATTTTCCGCTTATGTTTTATCTCTTTAAGCTTTAATTAATTTCATTTTGTTTTTATTTCTCAATTTTCTTTCCTAATTTTCCCCCTTCATAATTTAAATTATTAAACTTCGTAAAACCGCATAACTTCGTATTTTAAAATTTTTCCGCTTGTGCTTGCATATCTTACTATACTATATATACCCGATTTGTTATACATTACGCGGACCCTGTATTTGTAGTCTTAGACACAGATTGCTTCGAGCGTTTGTTGGGCAAATGTGCGAATTTATTGGAGAGCGGCATTAGTGGTTACCGCTACCTAGACGATGATTTGCGCATTTATTATGATAATATGAAAATGTTGCAGGACATTAAATTGTAGAGCGAGTTCATTTGGTTGTTGTTTTTTCATTTTAATTATAGATGTATGCTTTCATTCCTTAACGTTTTTATTATTAATTATTTTGTATGCAAAAAACGAAAACTCTTCATTTCTATTTTAAATAGAATCTATTTTAATACCCCACAAATCTATTTTAATATCCTATGAATTTTCGTTAAAAAATCATCAATAATAAAATTCAATACACAATGTAACAATCAAATGCTTGAATCGACTTGTTCTTGGCAATGGGTAAAAGATTTGGACAAAAGTGCTTTCGAGCGAATACTTGGCTTCCTTACGGATGTGCTCAAGCGAAATGCAGAAATCTATGAAGAACAGTTATCGAATCTTGCGCGAGAAAATATATTTTAAAAATCTTTCACTTTTCTTATGTATGTATGGACAGTAGTTTTCTGTATTCGTTTTTGTTGAATTTCATTCACTCAGTGTTAGTTGTACATGTCTCCATTGAAATTCAGAACGAAGAATATTTCTAATTTGATTTTGTTCTTGCAAAGGAAGCCCTCTACTAACACTGAGTAAATGGTAATGCTATTTTATAAGTTTCACATACCTACAAATAAATGCAAAAAAAAAGAAAATAATTCTACAATTATTTCAAATTATGAAAACCGGCAAGAGAGTACTGATAGAAGGCGCGAAAAGTCTTTTAATATGAGCAGAATAAGGAGAAGGAATAATAAGTGAAAAATTATTTTAAATAATTGATTTGATATGAAAGCGTAAATGCCAATTTTCAGATTTTTTATAATTTTTTATTGTTATGCAATTGTTTTATAAACGAAATTAGAAAAGCCTAAGCTTAAAATTCATAAACACAAGTAGTACTCCTGCTAGTTTCAAGTACTTATACTTATAAAGGTCTTAGGGAAACACTAAAACATAAATAATTAGGTCGGTAGTTGCTTGTTAGAAGACCCTAAGTTTTAGGTACCATTACATGCCCTGCCACTTCCACCGTCATTCTCATCACCACGCTGGGGACAAGCTCAACTAAAAGCTGCATTGGTAAGGTTCGAGTAATAAATAGAAGATAATAACGGCGCATGTTAGCCTCTAATTTTGGTCAACGGCTTACACTGCTTTTAAAAACACAGCCAACCAACTCACAACCACTACAGATTAACAATTAGAAAATGCCAAAGAAACACTTGCTACAATTGGGTAAATGATATCCTCACTACACTCACACACATACACAGTGTTTTAACAACAACAACTAACTTCTTTTAGCAGTTATACGAGTACCGTTATACAGGCAAATACCGTTAACTAGCTAAAATATTGAAAATTATATTGTCTAAAATAAAATAAAAATGGTAACGGTTCTTCTTTTACTATTTTCGGCATTAATATACTCATTGAGCCCATTCATAAACGGAACTGTATGTTACACATACACATAAACACACTCACACTACCAACATACAAGTATTTATTAATTACATACAAGTATTTTAAAATTAATTAGTTCTTTTATGAACAGTTATAAAAAATATGTATTTATTATACTACGAAATATCGTAATTTCTAGTGCCAGTGGAAATATTAATAACTGTCTACTACTCCATACCAAGACGTCTTCAAGACCTGTGATTGACAGCTCAATTCGCTTCTATTTGAAGGGATTCCAATATTAGAATTGTTGTCCAGACGAGTTAACCCTTGTAGATTCATACCAACACCAAGAAAATTGGTCGCTGATCCCCCAAAAGTTTACCTCAAAACGTGCCAATTTTAAATTTGAAATAACCTCATTTTGCACATATGTACAACACATATTTTTGGTTTAAATTAAAAGTTCTCCAGTTATTATATTATTAAAAAACATTTTAAAATTAATTCAACACTTTTGAAAAAGAATCGGATTTATTTTGCCTTGGACATACACCAAAATTGAAAATTGTCCTTAACACTAACACTCACATTTTAAGAGGTGTTGGTTCCTTAGGAAATTTTACATCAGGACTTGATGATCTAGTTGTTTATAAACCTGTGCTATCAGAAATAAAGGTGTGAGCAGGATCTCAATTAGCTGTCAAAATGTTTTTTTTATTAATCGTATATGCCGTTATATGTATATTTGCACAGAAATTTTTACCAGACTCAAGAATCGTTCCAGAAATTCGCTTGCGTATGCATCGTAAATCCCGTTACAATTGTAAATGTGTATGTATGAACTTGCTTGTGCAGGTGCTCAACTCTTTCTGTGCTTTTATTAATTCTGTAAATAGCAAATCTGTTATTTTTCTACTCTATTATATTTATTTTTATTTGTTATTTTATGAATTTTATGGATTTTATTTTTTGCTTTGGGCATTTTCTCTTATTTCTACTTCAACGAACTGAAGCATGCGAGTGAAGAAGTGCAATGTAAGAATTGTGTCTAATTGGCAACTGAAAACCAGAATAAATGTGTTGCGCATGCGGGCACACTAAATGCAATTAATAAAACAACAATAACAAATATTTGAATTATTTTTTAAATTTCGTTCAGCATATTTGAATAATCGCTTCTCACAATTCTCTCTACTCACTTTATTTAGTCTTGGAGGTGCGAGCATTCGAACGCTTGCTGGGCCCGTGCATGGAGATCATGAAGCGCAACATTGACGACTACGAGACGCAGCTTATCAAAATCTTTGGCACCAAAAACAACATTAGCGATACACGATAAAAAGTCTGAGTTCCAAAAGCAAACACACACAACTAAGAATACACACGCACACACACACTGGCCGCCACAAGCGCTCGCGTGCAAAGTACATATACACAAAAACAACAACAACTACTACAACAATGCCACTCTAAAAGCCGTGGCAATATAAATCTACTAATAATATCATTAATAATTTAATTAAAATCCAACTGAAACTGCAGCAGACGCCATTAGTACGTGTAGTTAGGAATACAGCAGCAGCAGCAGCAGCAGCAACAACAGCAGTAATAACAATAACAACAACATTAAGAGCAGCGTACTAAAATAGTATACAGTCAATCATGTTAAAAGTCAAAGGAGGGGAGAACCACTAAAGTAACAACAAAAACCGAAATCAAAAATGCATCAAGTCGCACAAGCAGTGCAACAGCAACAACAACTAAAACAGCATAACATAATACTAGACCAAAACAAGTCCATATTTATTCACAAAACATATTGAATTCTAAGCACAAGAAATAAGTTTAAAACAAAAAGGTACTTATGTATGTATACTAGTATAGTGTATGTATGTATGTATGTATGTATGTATGTATATTTGTATTTATGTATCTACTGTTATGTATATTATTGCCAGCGAAAGCACCTGCGACAAAAGCCGTTAATATATACCATACTCACATACATATGTATGCGCTTAGGCATACACACAGCCACACGCACAAGCCAATGCATCCCTGCAATGAGCCTTTGGTTGTCAGTAAATGTAGAAACTACCGTTCGGAAACGAAGTAGACAGCGAAGCATCCGACTTCTTCTAATCATGGAAGGATTTTCACATCAGTTGACGCTAGTTCAAGCATAGTTTTCGGAACTGATATAAGGCTGACAACTGGGAGTTCGTAGGACAACAGCATTTCGTGCCGGGATGCACCCGCTTACTGACCACATACATACCACACATACATACATATGCATGCGTATGCACTCATTCAATACATACATACATACATACGTATGTATATGTATAGTAAGCAAAGTGTATCCTAGAATTTATTTTTACTTGTTGTTTTTTATATTTCGTAAAATGAGAAGTAGTGGGTGTGAGCCAGGCGCTTGAAAACTTTTCTGTTGCTTACATACATACATATGTACACTATTTTTTTGCTATTCGTATTTATGTCCAAACAAAGTAAAAGGAAAACAAAACCAAGAAATATACATAAGTAAAAACAGTTAATTTACGTACATACATGTATGTAAACGCTTAAACCCTGCTCTCAACCAGAGCAAGAAGAAGAAGAAGTAGAAGTAAGCGAAACACACGAAGTCTCAGCACAGTGAGCCGTCGAGGCGAATATATACCTTAAAAAGTAAATAGTTAAAAGCAACAAAAAAATAAAAAATAATAAAAAAACAAAACATAAACATATTTATTAGTGTAATTAAAAGTTTCAGCGATGCAGGCCATTACGAGATTGTTAATGAGAGAACTGAAAGCAGAAGAAAGCAAAAAGATAGAAACACATTTTTATAAACTTATTTGCGAGAATTATAAAAAAAATTATAGTGCAGACACTTCAAAGCTGGGTAGTTCATTTGAAATGGACTAAGGTTCTCTAGATTTTGTGAAAATAAACACACACATACATACATACATAGAAACATTTGTTATAAATAAAATAATTTTTATTTATTTTTTAATTGCAAAGCATTATATGTATATCTGGTTTATAGCAGGCACATTTAACAATTAATATGATCTTAACAAAGAAGTTGTAAGCGACGGAAGTAAAATATAAATAAAAAACAAAAAATATTAAAATAATATTAAAAATTAACAAAATTATTGATGGGTAATTTCAACATGTAATCGGCATAGAAATATACAACATTTATACCGTTATTTTCCGTTATTTCTAACTGAAACATACAAACATACATGCGGCAACAAAGCGAGCTATCTTAAGCCATACCAAACAGAAAAGAAAATTAGTTAAAACTAAAAAACATGAAATAACATACAGATAAAGAGAAGTGCATGCATTTCAAAGGAAATTATTAAAAGTCCATAGAAATTGTTCGTTTATTTGCTTCAGTTTTGTGTTCTTGACAGTTATATGACATATCAACCCGTTAGAAAGGGGTTTCGACAGAAAAGTTAGGTCGGTTAGTCGCCGAAGATCAGTGAAGCTTGTGCACACACCATTAGATGACTACACGATGTCATATATGAGTCCATGGATATTGTTAATCTTCCTAAGTTCTGTCAGCCTGCCGTGGACGAAGCTGTTTAACTAACCATAAACAGCAGCTTAATCTAGACACAGAGCTGTTACTGTTCTTGAGCTAACAGTTTTTAGACTGAGACTGAATAGAAACTGGACGCGTTTTGTAAAAGAGTTAAGATTGGAGCATATCCACCACCCAAAGGTCTTCACCATTTCACTATGACTGGGGATAGCATACATAATTTATTGAAAATATACCTTACGATGTCAACTCTACTACGTCTACTTAAATTCATTATATACCGTTATCAGAGTAATTCTTAGAGATTGAAATCAAACAAAGCTGCTTCATCTGTTCCTTGAATCGATTGGCTATACATATGTATGTACCATATACACCATGCATAAATGCATACATACATACATACATTTATTATATAGAAATGCATATGTATGTGTATGGAATCGTAAACAAATCCACAGGAAATATATTCACATAGATGCATATAAGTAAATCCAACTGTATTGTAATAAGCTAGTAAGAAAATATTCAAATACTTGTAAGAATACAATTACCGTTTTACATTGCACAATCGAAATGAGAGGAAATCATCAGAAACAAGTAGACTAAACCAGCATAAGCGTTAAAAAATACCGAATAAAAAAAATGAAAAACAAACATACAAATCGGTGCAAAATAAGATTAACATAACTGCGCGTCGAAAGTTCCGCACGCTTGAGTAAAAAGTTATTTGATTGCAAATTGAGAAAAATTTGCAAATTTTGTTTCTTCGCTTTAATCCCAGAAGCAAAGTAAAAATATTAAAAATGTTACCTTAAATAAGAAGAAAAAAAGATGAAAAAAAATATATTTTATTGACATCAATATAAATCCGTTGTGTGTGTGTGTATGTACCTATGAATTAATGAATACATATAAGCAAAATGGATTCCTAAAAGTCAGCATGTAATTAATTAACGTGCGGACATTCTTGCAACATTGTTGGATCCTATTTACGTATGTATGTAACATAAATAACTTTGAGCCTCCATTGATTTGATGTATTCGATGTGTTAACTGTATTTTTTTATGTATGTAACTAACTAGTCAGAGACGAACTTAAGCAATAATGCCCGTGCTTGTTAAATTCATATTTGTTACCGATAATGTGCAGCATCTCATTTAAAAGAGTACCGTTCGAAGTGAAAACTGAGCAAACGTTAACTGGTCATGCCCGGAGCGAAGTTCATAAAATACCACAGGTGAGATCTTATGCCACAGTTAACCTCCGTGAAGGTCATGAAGGTACCGTAACAGTAGGAAGAAAAGGAAAATACAGAAAACTCGTACCCATAGCGAGTGGAAGAGATCAAGCAGGAATTGCGATTGTCAGAATACAATCAAAATCGTTGAACCTTCTCTGTCACAACTCTCCTCTACGGCGATATCTTACGACATTGAGTTTTCATTTAATTAAGACATATTGTTCAATGTCGATGGGTAACTATGTAACTTACTTATAGCGACACCCTTCGCCCACTCGCTGATGTCAATCAAATTTACATTGTACCTTGTCCTTCAATATTCAAAAATATGTATTTAGATATCTTCAGTTGTAATTGAAGCATGACCTGCCAATGAGCTGCCAAAACTATCTGGTCCAAGTATTCTACTTTCATTAGTTTTTGGGGTAGATTTGTTAAACTTCAGATACAGGTCATTATTAAACGATAATTTCTCATCCGCTTTTCTATTCTTTCTCCAACATCATTTACAAATTCCCCCGACTGTTACGCACATTCGAGGCGAATAGAAAGGAGATATCCAATGAAAATCTACTAAATGCCCCAATCATTAGAGGGAAACCCATGGTCAGTGTGTACGGTTAGGGGTCTATAAGACCCTTGAACCTCGAATTTTTGAGTATGCTCAACATGGATTCCCATTTGCGCTAACTAAGGCACAGACAAGACCCTCGCTAACATGAGCTTATTATACCTGAACTGCACTCTAATATGAAATAATGTATTTAAACGTTAAGCGATATAATTGAGAAGCAATTTTCAATTAAAATTAATTATAAATAAGTGAAATGTGTAGTATTTAATACAAAAAAATAAAAATATTTAAATAGTAATTAATAAAGAACCTAATGAAAGGAAATGTGAAATTGTAACATGATTTGGCTTGGGAAAAAAGGTTGGTAAGCGAACGGGGAAGTGCTCTGTGTATAGGAAAATTCTACAACTGGGGCTGGATAAATGCGCTACTCAGTAAAAATAGCCTCTTTAAGTGAAGATAAAACGTTTCGATATAATGTCAAATGTTCGACGGATAGAGAAGTGTAACTTCTTAACTGTTAACCGAAACAGACACGGATTTTTACCAGCTACTCCTCTAAATTACTTCAGAGATCTTATCTGCCCCTG